TAAGCAGAAAAAAAAAAATTACTTGTGTGCTGGAAAACTCCTCCCTCTAGTTCTTACATGCACAATAACCTTCATAGCTGTGGGATCTCCAAAGCATGTTTCATTAACCGTACCATATGTTTTATCATAGAACCATAGAACAATCGATGAGAGAAGGGACCTCAGGAGGTCTCTAGTCCAATCCCCTACACAAAGCATGGTCAGCTATGACACCAGACCACGTTACCCCATGGTTTAATCCAGTCAGGTCCTGAAAGCATCCAAGGATGGAGACTGCAGAACCTCCCTAGGAAACCTGTTGCGATTCTTTACTGTCCTAATAGTCGTCAGATAGTCCCCCCATGCCACAGAAACACGAAATAATGTTTAGCTGAGGTGTGGCTTTATGCCTGTTCACTCCAGAGGGGTAGGAAATCTGATGCTTCAGTCTGAGTTTTTCCACTTAAAACTGCTAAACATCTATGATTCAGAGGTTTTATCACCAAACTGCAAACTGTGCATGTACTTCAAGCTTGAGAGCAAGCAGGTTACACCTCCAAGTTAGCAACCTACTGGATGACTTACCAAGAGCTGAAGTCAATGCTTCAGAAAGTTGAAATAAAACTTCAGTTTAAAATTAAAAAGCACAAACATCTGAATGAATAACTTCTTACTATACAAACACCATATCTGTGGTCAGTATCATGGTAAGGTCATGAACAAGCTGTCCAAAACGTTAAGTAATCCAAACATAAGTATTTCTCATTACTGGAAATCTTTCATCATAACAAAGAGTATCTGTCAGGAACTCAGCATTATTTTAAGAACAATAGGCACAGCAGAAGATCCAAAGCCCTGCGTTCAAACATTTGCATTTGTGAAAAGACAAAAAAAAAAAAAAAAAGGGGGTGGGGGCATATTCTGACAATCAATCCTAGCACAACTATTATGACAGGGCTTAGATGTCTGTGTAGTTAAAACACTCAAGTTAATGGCACTGTTCACATAAAAGTTTGCAGGGCTATTTTTAAAAACAGATTGTTAGCCTAAAAATGTACAATATCAGATTTAAAGTGTGTGAATGCATGTTTCTACCGTATAAAACGTGTACTAATACACAATTGGAAAGGCTGGGGAACCTCGTAACAATTTCTCAAGCATCACAATCTTTTGAAAAAGATAGGAACTTCCACTAGAACAGATACAAGTAACACAAATCAACATATAAACATACTGTGTTCTGGCATATTTCCCACGGGTTCACTACACTATGTTTAAAATTATATTTTTCATTCACATTTTACCTGAACTTTTTATTTTAAATACACATTTTAAAATAATGGTAATATTTATTGCTCTAAGTGCAAACACCTGAATAATACATTTATTGGTTATCATCCATACTAAAGAGAAGCTGAGTTTTTCTTCTGCATTCTGTTTAATAACCAGCATATCCTTAATTGCCTAAAAACTTGAATTTTTGTATGCAAGATTTATTGAATTTTAAAAATAAAACATTGCTTATACAGATTTCACAAATTGAACTAAACTATATACCTGCACAGGCTTTCATGATCTTTTTCAGAGGACCCACAGTGTACATCAGTCCAACCAGAATCCCTGCCAAATGCCCAGCAAAAGAACTCCTAGGAAAAAAGAAGAACCTGTGAGTGAGGGAAAGGAAGGCTTTTTTGTTAGGGACCCAAACAAGGGACTGCAAATTTTGTTGTAAACCAGAAAGTTCCTGAGTTACTAGACTGAGACCAAGCATAGAGAAAGGACTTGCCTGCAAAGACACAGGGGAATGCAAAGATTCATTAATTTCTGCTCTGAACTAGAGACATTCTAATTTCTAATTTTAAAGTGTTAAGTGTTCTAATTGAACCCACCTGTGCAGTTTACAAAACCCTCTTTTCCTCAAAATGAGCATGGTAAAAAATGCAAAGTAGCAAGCAGACCCACCTCTAGGGCTGTGCTTGAGAACTGCGGCTCTACCACATTAAAGTCTGAGCCATACAGTTAATCGTGTAGTTAGTTTACTTCAGTGTTCCTTATGAAAGTTATTTAATTTTGCCAGTTCATGCTTCCTAGAAATATCTAACACCGTCAAGACAATATGGACTAAAGTGCCAAGTCTTCTTTCTCTGTAACTTCCCTAAAATTAGTGGGTATAAACAGTTACAGAAATGTATTCAACAGATACCTTCAAGAAATTGAAAACTCATCAGGAGAGAGCATTTTAACTGTCTAAAGGACAGAATATTGCTCACCTAAAAGCATTTGAAGTACAAATTTTATTGAGGTAGGAAACTAGTTTTAATCTATAGAACTTAAATCTGTAGATTACACTGAAATGTCTAGGTAGGATCTACCAGAACCATTTACATTTTAAGAGAATGCATAAATATAGTATCTTACTGGGGTGCTCTCAAGAATCTCCTAGAATTCTCTCCTAGAATCATTTTATTTGAGGTGACCATTGAACGCAGATCCACCTGTCGCAACATTTTTGGAACGCAGTGCCTCCAAAAACTTAAAAGTACAAAATGAGTGAAATCTTGAGATCCAAATTCTTTTCTAAACATACTGACATCTTCTTTAAAAAATATCATCAGCCACTTGTATACAGAATGAAAAGGTCCTAAAGTCTTTTGACAAATCATCAACATGGAAGCGTAAGTTAAAGGTAGAAGAGAATGAAGAGGTTGGCTTCAGGTACTACCATGAATATGGGGTACCTGATCAATTCATAAACTGATTTCCAGCACTCAAATTACAAATAATTTAGTGAAAAGACTTTAACCAGATCAGTATTTAAATTATATTTAAATATTACTATTTAAAATTGTTTGCCTTTATTATGAAGTTATAAAAGCTATAATCCCAGAGAGGCCAATATACTAAATATTTTTTAAATATTTCCTAGCATATCTGATTATAAATAACTCAGTTTATTAGATTTTTACCTGTTGTCAGCAATTCCAGTAACTCAACTTTTTTCTTTCCCCTTTATAAAGCAGAAACGAAACCCTTGTCTAAATTAATAATAGATCTAAACATGTTTTTTTTACATTCTGGTCAGAAATCCAAAGCAGCCACATAGATATGGTAATGACAGCACATGTACTTATGTTAATACAACTTACAGATACCATTGGTAGAAATATACGAGAAAACACATGTGTCACTAGAGGGAGATAAAGATCAAATCTCAATTCAGTCATTTGCCATCTACTGAACCACGAACTTGCATTCTGTTATGCAGAGCTGCCATTCTCTCCCACAAGTTATCAGCAATTTTTAAGAGTAACACATAAATGCTGCTGTGAAAAATTATAGGTAAGAAGTAGTTAGCAAAATAAACTATTTATAAGGAACTAATTTCAGATTTCAAGTTACAAAAAGTACCCTTTTGCCTGACTTGAAAGTGTGACATCTGTACACAGATAATACCAAATATTTTAAAATGCATTACTCCAGAATTCACCAACATGAGATTATTGACTCACCTATATTCCTGGAAGCATTTTAGAAAATGTTCATGCTCATCTGGATTTATCTGAGCATAACACTGTTCCACAAAATGCAAAATCAAGGTCTTTGATCGTAATACAATGAAGCTATACATTTAATACAATATAAATGAGCAGAAACATTTAATTTTTAGAAGCCTTCAGCAAAGGGGTGATTTCCATTTCATGTCCATTGAACAGTTTAGCACAACAGACACCCCAAACACCATTCACTCCTTTTTTTGTAAATTATATTCAAAGAGTAGGAATTAACAAATAAGTTTAAATAGAGTAATCTAAATGAAAAATAAGATTCAAATTAACAATTAAAAAGTTTAAATAGGGTACTCTAAATGAAAAATAAGATTCAGACACACGGTCACCCTGTTATGATACCACTGACATGCACAAAATGAGTGTAATATTTGATAAATCAAATCAAATTTTCCTCATATGCAGTCATACAACTGATTTGAAATGTGGTTAACAGTAGTGCCTTGCTCCTTGTAATTACTAATTACTATTTGTAAATACTTACATAAGCAAAATGTTTAATGTTACAGTCAAGTTAAATACCACTTTTTGCAGCAATATTTTATAGTTTGTTATATCGTAATTTACTCAAATGATTGCATAAGATTTTTTTTGGCAATGCTAGTTACTCTCTACATGTAGCGTGAAAAACATTTTATAGACGTATTTTCCAAACATCTAACATATAACATCTAACACACATACAGATACTAAATGACTTTACAAAGAAAATTGTTTTATTAAAAATTTTCACGCTTCTCAAAACAACTGAGCAAATAATACTTAAACTATAACTATGCAGCAAAATCTAATGTAGAGTTAGTAAGAGTAATATAGGTACAGAGTAAGCTATGTGCTACTGGATTTCTCTTTAAGGCTGTTTATAACCTGAGCCACAGCAGTACTTACAGTGATGTATACTGACATTAGAAGGGCTTGAGAAAAGCAAAGAGTACTGGAGACAGCGCCATATACTTATTACCAAATCAGGAAGACTACGAGCATAATGTTCTCTCTCTGAGTGACTAAGGATCACCCTAAACACACAACCTAGTGGTAGCCAGGAAAAGGAGCAAGCTGATTATGCAAATATCTTGGTAAATGACACTAACCACCCAGCGATACGCTGAAGTTTAGGTTTTGCTCCGTGGTGACAGCAGTAGAATTTAAAACAACCTAGAGAGAATTAAGTAATGGCTTGGAAGAAAAATTCAGCAACACCGAACACAAAGTTCTGAACTTACCACTGAAATGAGCAACTATGTAAGCAGGCTGAAAGTAACCGGCTAGTAGGAGAGCTTTGGGACGGAATCTGAGGTACGCAGGGACTCACATGACAAAGCACAGAGCAACACGTCACGCTACTAAAGAAAAGGCACGTATTTTAATTGGAATACATAAACAGGAGTACCATTTGGGAGACACAGGAAGTAACCTTCCACGCCGTGCAGCCGTGGTAGGTCTCAGCTGGAGAACTGAGCCCGGTTTTGCATACAGCACAAAAAGAAGAGCAACAAAACCAACAGGAAGTCTAAAAACCATGCCTTCTGCGGAAAGGCTGAAGGAATCATAGTCTCTTAATCTACTGAAGAAACCAGCGATGGATATAATTACCTTAAAATATGCAAAAGACTGTCACAAATAGGAACGAATAAACTCTCCACATTTGCTATCCATGAGATAAGGAGTAACAGACATAAGTCACACAGAGAGAGCTGACAACAATTACACACTAGAACGGACTGCCTGGAGAAACTGGGGGGGAGGAGAGGGGGTCTCCATCCAAAACGGGCAGAGGCCTCCCAGATCCTGCTGGCTTCAGGGCTCACTCCCTCCCACATTTGCCTCTGATTAGCAAGGGAAGAGGAGAGGGCTACTATGGCTCTGCAAAGAGGAATCGGAGGTTGAGACAGTGATTATCTTTAAAAGCACATTAGTCTATATATTGATAATTTTATATTACATACAGGTAAATATGTTTTTACTTCTGAAGTTATTATTCAAAGTATTCATTCCAAAAGAGTAGGGAGTTCAGACCCTCTATAATCGTTCTTCTTTGATACAAAAATGTGGATTGAAATTGTTTTGATATATAAAAAATTATATAAAAGACTGTTTCACACAAGCAATTAACGTTCTTCTATCCATACACTTTAGTCCGAAGCGGAAACTCCTACTTCCAATGAACAACTTAAATATAATTGAACCACTAATTCGCATAAATACTTCAGTGTCAATCTTCTTGACATTTTACTACATTTTTACAGTGAATTTTAATTTTCAGTAGATTGCCTTTAAAAAATTGGCATAATGGATTTCTTGCCTATCAGGCTGTATGAGTTTTATCTGACGGACGCTACAGTTAATGGCAAAACTACAGTTGTTTTCGAAAAGCAGGATTATATGCAAATTCTATACCTAGTTGCCATAGATCTTTGCTCAAATGAACAAACACAGTTAACAAAAAGCACAAAAGAAGTTTTGCCTGAAGAAGTTTTGTTCAAACACATATTATCAAGTCTCCTTTCACTTGTATTACAAATTCCACTCATTTTCTTGTCTAATCCAGAAAACGGAGGCTACTCTAATTTTCTGCTTTTTATATACAGTAAAATAACCCCAGATTTAATAAATAACTTTATATTAGTCATAAAGCAAGCCCCATTCAAAAACAGATTTTTGTACACTATTCTTAAGAGCAATAGCTTAACTTCAGCGTATATTTGTGTATACAAAAATCTAACTTATTTTTTAGATTGACTAACAAAGAAGCATTCTCCCAATTGCAACATGATAATCTACTGCTTTTTTACCTGATTGCTAATAAAGACAAATTGAGAATTATTTTGTTCACAGCACAATTTTCAGTTTGTTCAATACAAACTGAACTTTCAGTGGGAATAAAACCAGAGTTCTTGACTTTTTAAATTGCATGCTGTTTCTCTAAATGCCAATGAACATTATCAGTGTTAAATATTTTTCTCCCTGGTACAAAGAAATTCAAATGATATCTCATTTAATTTTTGTTTAAACATTTAGGTAACCCCAGAGAGCTTGTTTATCTCAACCATTCACTTCATACTAATGATAATTATGCAATATGTCTAAATACTATTTCCTGAAGACATTCACCATCAGGCTGATGTGCACATTATTTAAAAAAAAAAAAAAAAAAAACTTCTAAACAGAATTCATTATACTTTTTCATTTGGCAGTGTAATTTTCATGAAAATGGGTATCATTAGAGGGAAAACTATTTGGATGTCATCTGCTTTTCATGTATTAGAGATTTTGACCCAATGTTTACAGGCCTCCCACAGTATTATATCAATTTTTACATTAACATTGTTCTGGGATCCTTACGCTGAATTCAAATCAACCCCTCATCATTGTTAGTGAATTCATCCTGGATTGTTTCAGCCCTGATATATCAGTCACCTGAAAGAGCAAACAGCACAAGAAAACCTGCATCTATCATTTAACCTTGAAAATTTCTCACTAACAGCAAACTGAAAAGTCTAGTAGGTATTATCATTTATGCACGCCATTCTGTCACAGCACAAAGCCACTTATTTAGCATCAATAGCATGTATTTAACTTAAGCCATTACTGCAGACTTTTGTGACAAGATCTCATTTCCACGCATCTCCTATTCCAAGGCTACGCTAGAAAGCAGGTGTTCATTGAACAAACCAGTAATAGCAAAGTGACATACTGCAAGAATCTAGAGCTATTTATTTTGAAAAAAAATGATTTTTGAGACAATGGGATCAAATCCATGTGTTCGTATAGACATATACAGTTAATTTCCAAATTAAATCAAGCAGGTAGTCACCTACAATTTACACCCTTTGCTACACAATTAAATCTTGCTTGGAAAGCAGGCAATGTAGTTACTTTATCAGTGCTGATCAACCTCTCTGAACATAACTTAGAACAAATTAAGTGATCACATAGGGAAAAACAAAAACAACAACAACAACAAAAAAAATCAACAGCCAACTCTCTAAGTAGTCAACTCTCCAGCACATTTTACTATCTCCAGCCACTGTAACAGAAACAGATTCGCAGAATAAACAAGCAGGGAGATCCTATTATCGAATTAGAAGTGCTCATTCAACAATATTTACTTGATGAGTTACAATGACATAATGATTTCTAATAAGACTAGTATTAAAGTTCTGTTGCAATAGAAAGGAAGAACGTTAGTGCAGTGATAGGCACCGGATAAAGACTTTTTTTTCCAAAATAAATTAAAATTACTGATCAGCTCCCGCAATTAACAAGCAAGGGGCTTAAGACTTAAAGGTATGTGATTTTGGTTTGCTTTTTAATTCTCTTTCTCAGGTCAATGGATAGTCTACAACTAAACCAAGAAATGCGGAGCACATACCGTGCTTAACCAAATTACACTGCTGTTACAGCTTTCACTAGTTTGACATTATTATGGAAAACAAGCTAGTACTTCAGGTAAAGTTATGTCAGGAAATCTTCATTCAAAGCAATAGAAATGTTTGTCAAGCAAGAATAAGCCAATTCATTGATTTCAACAGCTGTAACAGTCAAGATGTTACAGCAGAAAAAATGTTTTCATTCTCCCTCAGTTTGACTTGCTGATTCAAAGTCAATGAATTTTACCAGTATCAACACAGCAAGACAACTCATCAATAAAACTGTTCAACAGTAAATATGACTGATAACCAGTGATGACTCAGTGATATCTCTAAACATTAAACAACGAGCAATTAAAGAGCAGACTAAATAGGAAAAGAGGTGCATACAAAAGGTCTCGTCAGGTAAGTATTTAAATATTAGAGCTATATAAAATATTTATATTCACACTAGAGGCTGTACCAGAGCTGGGACTGAGAAGGGGGAGTGGGAAGGAAATCAAAATTTGCAAACAAATTTGTCAAAGTATGTTGCTATATTTCCAAACATATACTATATATATATATTTTATATATAAAAATAAAATTTTAACCCGTTAATAAAAAGCTCAGTATTCCTCCTGATGATTGCTTGTTCTGACTACGGTTTGTTCAGCTATTTTGAGGTCCTGTGGACTCCTGAAACCCACGTGAAATGAAGAAAAAAACGATTTTCATTGTTGATTCATAATAAGTTATAACCATATAACACATTTCCAAGTGTTAGCTTACGTGTGACCTGCATCTCTGCTGCCAAATGTAGATTTGTTACTCTCTTCTTGCTCTTTAAAAACTGCAATAGCTCTCAGTTTGCAGAATCTTCTTTTTTTGAGAAAAAAGAACTCTAATAAGCGTCTTAATTTGACAGAATAAAGAACCCTAATAAGCATCTGAAGTTGACAGAATTGTCTCAAATCAACACTAATCCACGCAGCTTATCTAGAAACAGTTATGAAGAGAAACCTAGAACAGAAACTAAGGGTAGAACTAATCTAGACAATGGAAATAGCTCAAATAAGACAATTTATACATTTTATGGATTACAACATCTTTCACAGATCTGGAAAACTTTACCAGATGCCTGAAAGCCAATAACTGCTAAAACCTATCAAAACACTGAAAACTTTGGTTTAATACCTGCAGTAAGAGACCATGTAAGAGACCTCTCAGCCCACACTTAAAGTTGTGTTCGGAACAGAGAGTACTTCAGTACTGCAGTTCTCCTCTGTCATTTAATTTGAGATTCCTTGCTGCAGTCAATCAGGCAGTAAGTCATAAAAATGGTATGAACAGTGTTTAGGATCGGTAATAATTGGCCACTCTTCTCCTTTTTCTGGGCAAAGAAACGTTTCAACTGCTATATAATAGTATATGATGAGGAGCATCTCAGTCTCACTTCCTCTCTTTTTTTTAAACCTTTCTGAAAAGTGGGAAATTTTGTTTGTAAATTGTGAGTTGGTAGTTTGTAAGGTTGGTGGCTTTATGTTTCACATACATTCTCCAGTATAGCTGACAGTTATAAAATACTGTAACAAAAAACTATTGATTTGCAACTACAACTCCAAAAATCAGTTGCCAAAGAAAAGGAAGGCACTAATTTGACAGGGGCAGAGAGCAGGCAAACTGTTTTGGCAGAACAGAGCGTCAAGAAAAACTGAACAAGCTAATCAGCAAGAGACAGTGAAACTGCAAAAAAAGTAGCAGGATACTGGATAATGGTTTTATCATAAATTAAAGGAGTGACTGGAATAAATGGACATTTGGGACTAGGAGAGAAATACAAAGCAAACGATGGAATGCTCTTTTGCTAATGAAGCCCTTGGCACTACAATATATCTCAGGTTAGCTTGTTTTGCTGAACGAGTATGTCCCTTTTTCTTTCCCATGAACCCTTGTTATCTTTCATAAGCACAGTATTCCATTTTTTCATTTTGAAACATGGTCAGGCTAGAAGAGGCTGAGGAAAACAAAGCAGATTGTATCCTCAACACTTAATTGTAGCCTCAATACTCAATTTGGACAGCAGCCAGGCACTACTCATACCTCGTAAGTTTTCAAACTACCTCAGATACTCCAGATCTCTTCTACTAACTTTGAAGTATTAAATGCACTTACCCTGGGGAAATTAAATGAATTGCCACCAGCTCCACCCAACATACATATTTACTGGATATCTGCATTCCAAGGACATTGCTGAATCTTCCTGGATGGTAATGGTTGTTAAGAACTTTCAAAGCAAACAAGACTCCTGCAAACAAGAACAAGTCACATCAAGAGAGAAGCACTTGGGCCTAAATAATAAAGAAAAGCAAGTGACTTCAAAAACAACTAAAATTGAAGAACCATGCAGTTTCACAGCACCAGGAAGCATACCGATACATGCCAGAACAATAGTCCTAAGCTGCTTTTTCAGTAATACTTTTCAGTGCCTTTTAAAAACACATTACAACTTACATATTTGTATAGCATAGCCAATTCTAAGTCACTTTCTCATATACCCATTCACTGTAGCTACTGAGGTATTCAAAACAATACAAACATTATTTTAAAATGAGAGTTTCAGTTGTAATGTACAAAATTATTAACTATTAAAAAACGTTCCATGAGTTGAGAAAAGCCATGAATGAAAACAAGGCAAACAGATGCATTTGTGAAACTTAAGAGTAGACTCAAGATTTCTGAATTAATAGAAAATAATCTTACATATACTCCAGAATCACTGCCTTTCTGAAAAAAAAAAAAAATCAGAGAAATCACCTTTAATCACAATAAATAACCACTACTAATTGAATACAAGTGTTTTAACATGCAAGAAAGAGCTGATATGACAGAATGAGTTGACATATTTTACTGGAATTTTCAAAATGTTTTTGGAAAGGTTCCTTTCAAGAGGAAACTGAAAACAATTGTTTGAAAAACTCTGCAAAATTGAGTAAAAGATTTGATACAAGAAAAATAGCTGAGTGGAACATGGATATAGATATATTAAATAAAAATATTTTAAAAGTTTCCCCCCTCCACTTCTAACACCATAGAAAACTCAAGAGCTCCTTAACTTACTCAGTGATGGAAAGATTCTCCAGGAATCTTTCCTGGAGGAAAGGAAGATTGATCCTTTCAGGATCCTTCCAGGGTCAAATCTAATCACAAATGCGTTTATGTGCTCCAACACGCACTCCCTCACACAGACTCATGCTATTTGCTGCTTCGAAAGCAGCAAAAAGTAAAGTAAAAATTTCAGAGGAGAGAAAGTAAAAATTCAGAAAGTAAAAATTTAACAGAGGAGAGAAATATTCAATAGCAGCAGCGTAGTCTAGCAGTTGTCTATATCCAATCCGTCCTTGGCTCACCAGAACCTTGTGTATTCAGCTTCAAATTTTTTAGGTTTAAACATCCATCGGAACTGTCTAGGCCTGATGTATTGACGGATCCCCTGGGGAACAATGAGCTGGTCTGTTTTACTGAATTGTAAGAAGAGAAGGAAAAAAAAAACTAGGCATCTTAAGGCTCTTGAAAGCTGGAAAAGTAGATAGATTATAAATACACATGCAGGCTGGCTCTCAAAGAAGGAGTTGTTACCAGGAAAATAATCATTTTTTCTTCTTCAACATTTGTTCCATACACCACTTCCCGCAACTCAAGAGGAATGACCTATATAGGAGGATGTTGAAGGTTTATAAAGACCAACTATGGACACTAATTCTGTCAGAGCTGCCTTAATGTACTGCTTGAATAATGGTCAAACGCATGTACATGGAGGCGACAGTCCAATGCATTTCCAAGCTTGGAACACTCAGAGATGCTGCAAAAGGTAAGTCACATCAGAACAGGCCATAATACCTAATACTAAATCTCAACCATCTTTTAGAACACGAAAATTAAAATCCAGTTAGTTAGTTTCCGAATTGACAAAACCTAACTTTTTGTCCTCTGTAGAAACGGCTCAGTAGATTATAGACTTATTCCCAGTAAGGTAATAGGACAGTTCACTAAAAATATCCAAAATACACACTCCACTGAATGTAGTAGGGCTGACAAGTCTCTTACAAAGAATGCAATGATGACCCTGATCTAACTAATCACCAATGCTTGTCCTGCATGCCAGCACCACTGCAGTCAGCAACCTGGTGCCTTTTGCCCATGGGAAGCCACAAAGCTGCATCACCTGGATAATCTTAACACTGAATCTAACTTTCTTTCTATTGGCTTGAGGAAAGGGACAGCAAGGTATGCTCTCCAGCCATGTGAGAAGCTGGAGACTAATTCTGCAGAAAAAAACATTACAGTGAACACTACCCAATTAAGAAACATAGTATAAAGAAGTCTTACAAATTCTTAAAATACTCACCCTTCCCATGCCTAAAAAGAATTAGGATGATACTAAAATAGCTGCTTTAAGGTATGGGCTGATAGGACCATATAGCAAAAGGCTCACATAGAGGACAGAATACAGAAATGAATACCAGAAAGGGAGACTTCTTCACAACTGGTCTCAGAAAATAGCTATGCCCATGAAACCTTATAGTTCAGCTTGTTACAAGAGAGGTGCAAGAACCAGCATGATGGCAGCACTGCCTAGTTGTTGACAGAGAATGATGTAATGGGGAACAGTAGAGCACACTCACTCAAAGATCATCCAACAACAGCTGGAGTACCACATAAGAGCTAACCTTAGAAATTCCAGCTGAGATGAGGTGTAAATACTTCAGTCATTTTACCACTAATAAATAATATTCAGGTACCACAGTCATTATCAGGGAGCAGCAAGAGCGTGCTGCTTTACAAAGGGAGGGGAGTTGATAGGAACAGCAAGGCAGGTAGGTTGTGACCTCCCAGACAGGGGAACAGTCCCAAGCAGAGCAGGCTAGCGACAGTAATCAGCACCAGCCAAGAGTCCAGATCCCCAGTCCGGCTGACAAAACAGGGCTGAGGAAAGCTAGGAAGCCAAGTCAGCAAGTTGGGGCTGGCTCAGCGGCTGCAATGTAGCTCAGGCAAGGACAAAAGCTGAAGGCTTGAGCTTCATGGCAGTCCCTGAGCAAAGGGAGAGAGGTCACCTATGGAGATTCTCCCACCTGTGCAGCTCTGCCTCACATAGCTCTTTTCCCAGCAGTCAGAGACAGGTTACAGCTGCCCCATAACAGAGCTGGCCATGGGTGCAGGCAGCCAGACCAGGACTGCCCAGTGTGCACTCTGGGCCCTTACAGCCACCATAATGGCCAATACAAGAACATGTGTGCCTTGTTATCAAAGGGTTGGTGACCACAGAATGTCTAAAGCTCCAGATGAGCTACTACCAGGATGTTCCTACTAGTACCTATTTGAATACCACAACCCTCAAAGATCTTGAGGCATCTTTCTCAAAGGTTGAAAAGGAGGGTTTTTTCCTTTAATGATAGGTTTTTTTCTTTCTGTCATTGAGACCTAAGTATTCTAGAGGAGTAGTGCTACTTTTCCCCTCAACTTTAGGCTCCCTTAAAAGGGAGGAGTTCTCATTTGGGAGGTCAAAGGTTTATAGTGAGTGAAGTCAAGACCACACTATGGGCCCATATTAAAGGGCACACGTGGTACCAGAAAAGATGGTCAGAAATAATTCTGGGAAAGTGATAGGATTTTTCAGAACCTAACAAAGCAATATTTACACCAGGAAAGTAGGCTGCATTAAAAATGCAAAGTGCTGAACTTCCAGCAGTCAGTGGCATTAAACAAGAAACATGATTCTACTGGGGTAATGACATTTTCCATGTTCTCAGATAAAGACACTGCTGGTCAGAAAAATATGAAATCAATCACATGAACATACTCAGAGTATATGCTTTAATTTATAAAGAAAAAAGGATAGCTTTACTGACATAGCAGCTATACACATGCGCATGGATGTGTACATCTCCATTTCATACGTTCCACAAGTATTGCCATATAGTATCTATAAATATAAATTTTACACAAGTAAATTGCATCAGTTGCGTCTTACCTGAAAAACCTACAGCACAACTCATTTTATATGAAGGGTCATCCAGAATTTCCGCAAGCACGTATTCCAGTACCATGTAAACAACTCCAGTGAGCACCGAGAATACTGCAATTATATATGCAAGCCATATGCTTCCAAGCTTTCTTTCCAACATTATCCCCTTCCAAAGCATGGACACCATGTTAAAATATAAATGCCTGTCATCCGCATGGTGGACAGGAGAAAGCAGTAAACGCTGCCAATTCTTTCTGTAGAAGCTTTCATTTACACTGATACACACTTCAGATAGTGCCCCCAGAGGATTCAAAAAGAGAATAATATTCAGTGCAAGTATCCCAAGTGTAACAGGAGGAATGTTCTGAAATCCAACTTGAGAAATTTCATAAAACAGGAAAAGCAATCCAGTACTGACTCCTCTCTGCCTTCGCTGCATTGTCACTTCTTACTCAAAGAAACTTGAGGTTTATTTTGATTTCTAGTCTTCTCTTTGAATTGAAAAAAATCATACAAAGTTTGGAAATTCTGAAAGAAAATAAGAGATAACTGCATTATTACATACACATATTCTTTAATGATGATTAATCATAGGGGTGTTTTCAAATTCATTAATTTTTTTTAAACCATAGCAAATTGTTCAAACTAACCAGCTGAGGCATGTCCGTCTTAATCAGAACACGAAGTAAATGAGAAGATTATTACAATTCTTAAATTGGTATGAGACACCAATAAAAGATTTATACAAATAATTCAGATAGATATCATGATTAGAAAGGAGTCTGTAACCTCTCTCTCATGTTCCTGGACAGGCTTTGTTTCATCTATAAGATTCCTGGGCATTCTAGACATGTTCTCATTAACATCCTGATTCACTCACAGCCAATGAAACTTTCAGAAAGGGAATTGATTTAAACAAACTTCTCTGGAGTCTCCGTTTTCAGGCATCCTGTCTTGGCTACATATATAATTTTTTCATGATGTTTCTTTCCAACTTCACAAATATTCAGAACAAGCTAAGAATGAAAATTAAAACTTACTATTTCAAGTAGAAACAGAGAGACAGTGAAATAGTCCTAATAATAAGCTTTCAAAATATTACTAGTTTCCCAATGACTAGAATTCATACTTTAGCTTAAAAGCATGCAACAGGGAAAATACTTGTAGGATATAAACTAATACTTAATTTTCATTACCATTCCAAACTGACTATCATTACCTCTGCAGCTGATTCTTTTTTACCAGACTTCTGTCTAGCTCCAAAATATGCATTCAGAAAATGCTCATCATTTTCGCTCTTCATTTTTTATGTGGCCTACTCCAGTTTCTGCAAGCTCAATCCAAATTTGCCTGACAGCAAGTTATCTGTCATCCAGTGCAGATCACCAGCTCAACCAACTTAGGGCACCAGTTAATCTCTGGTACAAGTACAGGAAGGATTAATGTTTAAGAAGAACCTATGTATTCACCTCCTTGGATGCACAGCCTTTCTACAGAGGGTCAGATCACATGCCAGCCATTGCCACATGTCCATGGCCCATATTCTTCCTGAATCAACTCAGAGCTGAGCTACAGTGAAATTTCAAAAACATCTGATGAAGGATTAGCCAACCCAGCTGAATGGAACTGATGCTTAAGTAGTCTGAGATCTCCAGAGCAATAACGCTTTTCAAGGTTTATCCAGCCTGAAGTAATTCTGATTTCAGTACTGATAACAAGACTCTGATGTGATTACCCCCATAACCAGACTCCACTTGGAAGGAGGAGGGGAGAGTCAGTTAAGTCTAGGATTTTCACCATGTTTTTCTCTCCCTGGTCCAAGTTGCTCTCATCAAAAAAATTGCTGAATGCCTCAATGTAGAAAGACGAAGTAAAAGCACATGAGGGTATACAAGATCTGCTAAATAGAGGGTAGATTATTTCCTCCCCTACTTTGTCTGAAGGAAGCAAGGCAGCAATATATTCTTTCATTCCCTCAACCAACATCTTTAGCTTAGATAAACAAGCAACAATGTGTTTCTTCTGGAAGAGAGCAGAAAGAAATGACACGGTTAAAGAGAGGACAACAGTTCAAGATACAAAGTTTAGCATTCTGTACTATGTCTACTAGGATTTACTAAATTTCGCGTTTCTAGTAAGTATTATAAAGTTACATGCAGACAGTTGGTATGCCTGCCAACACTACTATACATTTTTCTTTATGCATGCAGAGTATTATTAATCAATTGACAGAGTTGTACCATACAAGGTAAGTAAACACATGGAAAAGACAGAAGTCACCTCAGAATTAGGCTATCCTATAAAGGCAGAAGTGATTGTGAGAGCTGCACGGAGTTGTGCACCTGAAAAGAACTATAACTTAAATGCAAACAAAAGCAGCATATAATCCCATACCAGTTTACACACATAAGTAGCATTACTCAAATTAAGTTATTCTGTTCTCTAGATCGCTCCTTAAATTTCACTTCTCCTTATTACAGTAAATAGAAGAAAAAGCTGCCGGCATTCTCAAAATAACTGTAGCAGAACAGAATGCAGATAAACTTATTTGCTACAATAAAAAGAAATTCATTGCACTTTTGTCATGTTCTAATCTCCGAGATGCTACGTCATGTCTAAGCCTTATCCAGAGTAGAGTGAAAACAATGGGAACAGGCTTTTATACCACCCCTGCTTAACATACAGCTGAAAGTACACTGGTACCTTTAAAAACCAGTTTCTAATTCTCATGATCTAACTACACAGACCACAGTTGTAGTAGCCCCTACAAAGCTCAAGTGAGTTAAAACTTCTTAATGTGCAAGTTATTACTGCAGTGGACTAATCAGTCTTTGCCTTTCTACTGTTAACATTACCCAACAAACCCCAGTACTAATGGTACCTAATGTGCCACCCTGTTTTCCCATATGACATGCTATGCTGCATGTATGCCCGTATCCCCAAGCTGCTCTTCTACGTATCTGTTCAAACCCCAACTTTTCCTTTACCACTGGCACAGCTGCATTTTTTCTACGATAAAGAAGTTCACATAAAATGTTAGAACTTAATAAGTCGGCACCACTTAAACCCAAGCTGTGTGAAAACCCCAAAATCTTCCCATACCACGCTGTCCAAATTGCCAAATACCTAGTCTCACTTACTGAAGTTTTTTTTGGATACTCTTTAATTCTCACTTTAAATACTTCTAACATATGTGCACCAGGAAAAGGAACTGTCATGTAGCCCATGTCTGTACGACAGTCATGTAACAGATTAATAGGCATGCTTTACCATGATCACAGTAATGCTATGTGTTATAAATTGTTCCGATTATTGGAAGTAATCAAAAATGTCAGCCCAGACACATTACATGTTCCATGAGAAAGGAAAAATATATAAGAAGGAAAACAAACTGGTTATTTGAGAGCCTTCTGGAATGCAATTCATTTTAAACATATAATGCTTTCAACTGTTTGAACATTCTTCCTCAGCCTCTACTCTGTTTATTAAAAGTCTAATGAGCTTTGAAACAATGAAGCACTTATTCCTTTTTCTTTTCTAAAAACTTGCCACACACTCCAAAATGTACAAATTTCCGGTACAGGCTTGAAATGGACATTTGTCTTACATCTAGGCTGCCACGTGTCCACATTTTTTGTCACCTACTCAAGATAAATGTCTGCACTAAACATTCTTGGAATTTGTTTGTTTGTTTTGTACTAATCAAACGTAAAGCATTTAAACTTATTTCTACTGTGACAACCCTCTCCACTTGCTTGGCAATCATAAAGTATTATGACTTAATATTACTGATAGATCATGCAATAAAGTAAATATTTTAGTAAATACCAGTTAAGATGAAATATTATACTGTCTTTTCCTATAGCTATAACTCAAAGTGAGTGGAAAAGAGTCCCTAGATACCCTTGTCCTCCCAAAATGGACAGAACAGTGCATGCCTTGGCATAACATTTTGATTCATGCTTACGTGAAACGAAATCCAAACCAGTGCCCTTCACGTCAAAAATCAACGTGATATAGACCTAGACTTTATGAATAGAGAGAGAAATACAACATCTCATTTCCATCCAGTCTGAATGTAGCCATGCTCTGGATTCTGCTTTTATTTGCATGGTAGATTCTGATCTTCAAAAGATCTGTCACCAGTCTTCAGTACAGAACTGCCAGGAGTTTATAAAGTTGCCTTGTAAAAATGACTTGTAACAGAGGCACCTTAGCATTCCAGAATCCTACGCAGAAAGATAAAATCCCGGGTTTACTGTTACAGTTCAGATGAGGAACTTACTTTTGAAGTGAATCTCTCCATTGTCCCCACAAATTTCACTGCAGTTCACATTGCGGAGCGGCCTCAGCATGCACGAATTCTTTTTTCAGATGAAAGTACACCAGGGAACGACAGTCCACACACAGTCAACTTTGTTAGAGCTGAGGCAAGTTTTAACCGAGCGAGATTACCGCTTACTCTAGCTGGCATGGTAGTTGGGCAGTTTCTTAGAACTGGAAGACTGACCTTTCCTAGAATTAACATTTTAGCGTTGAGTCTCCATATGACATAAGGAACTTGTTAATTGCTATGACTTTAGTGTCATAGTTGCTGACTGGGTACATTGAAGACTTGAAGTTAGAATTGAATGCCATGTAGGAAATGAAAGCAGAAGGATATAGTGATCTCAGGCACATTTAAAAGATAACAGCAGAGATAACGTCTGCAGCTCAGACAACGGCTGGACTCGTAGCTGATCACAAATTAGACATTATACAGCAGCAACTTCTAAGCAGCCAGAATCTGATCATAACTAGCAATCTCAAATGGCAAGAAGGAAACGATAAAAGGAAAAACAACCAAACAACCCCCCCCCCACACACCACTGCTTCTGTAGTAGCAATATGAAAAAGATTATTTGCTCTACCAAAAATCTTTAAAACCCCCTCAGTTTGTGAAAATCAGAGTAATAATTACTAAAAATGTCCCTACAACGTGGCCCAGGAAATTATTCAGAATGTCTATATTATGTGACTAATCTACCACTAAACTCACTCCCCCCGATCTTTTCACTATTACTTCTGATAGGCAATAACTGTGGAAGTAGATACTTTGTCCACCTGCCTCAGCCAAGGTCTCATATATATTTAAAAGGATTTACTGGTAACACAAATACTAGTAATGCTCCCTTTTCCCTCCTCTGGAGGGAGAGTTCACATCAGTCTTTTTATAGTGCAATATAAATCAGCTCCTGGAATGGAACAGCCTAATATAAAGGCCTCTCTTGAGTATCGGTTATTCTGTTCAAGAAGTTGATTATAAATATATCATCAAAAAGAATACTTTTTGCTTACGTGAGTTACATGTAACAGAAATTCTGCTACAATTGCCAAATCAGTAAGTTACTGTAGCGGAGAGCAGGCAGAAAAAGCAGGAATAAAAACCAAGTCTTTAAATTTCAGCAACTCTCCTCAAAAATTATGAGGTTTCTCTTTGTTAGAAAGATCTGTACAGGATCTACACAGGATCCATACAACAACAATATGTTACTATTCGTTTTGCTGCTTAGAAGACTTAAAAGCAACACACAGTTTTCTCTGCACATCTAAATTTATATGCCACAAATGATCAAATAGATAAAGCATTTCCAATGTAGCTAGAAAGACAAACAAGTAGTCAATAATTTCTTTCTTTGAAGTATCATCTCTTGTTGAATCTCTGTGGTCAGAATTATATACTATTATAATATCACTTTTACAGTTGACACATTAAGTTCCTTCCCATGACAAAGTGACATGCCAAGGTTTAATAAATATTTTTACTATCCACCTCTCATGAGAGAATAAATGATAATTAGCAACTACCTTTCAAAATGCTAGAATGCATTTTACACATATACAACTAAAGCTAAGCAAATAAAATAATCACAAATAATTATAGATAAATTACTGTACTGGTGAAGGTAAGGTTGGTGTCATAGCTGTAACAAAAATACTGACATCAGAACAAAAACAGACTGCAGGTTAGGCCACAGTTAGATGATTTTTTTTTTTTATCTTCAGTGTTAGTTAACTACTTTAATTAGGGTCAGGACTTTTTTCCCCTACCTGACTGCAGTATTTACACTGATAGAATCCTAAATTGCATAATTACACCTGAAAGGCCTACTCCTTTATTTATCTCAAGGACTTCATAATACAATAAAAACAAAACAATGCTTCTCTGACTCCACTTTGCAAATGTGAAGCACAAGGGCTCTGCAAGTTTACCATGCCTTAGCTTTTGGTGTTTTGAGGGGAAAATTTAGTCTGCAGCGTTACATGTAGAGGAAAGAACAACAAGATTACTTTCTAATCAATTTTAGATCATAATGGTAAAATACACAAACAGTTGATGAATATACACTTCCCAGTATAAGTGTTATTATGCTCACTGCTGTCAATACCCCAAATGTTATTGAAATAACCAAGCACAGCACCAAAAAGCAGATTACCATTCTAACTCAAGAAGGTAAATGAACTCAGATATCATTAAACACATTTATAAGCGTCTGAATTACTTAAGCTGACCGTTTATACAACGTAAGAGATCTCCCAGATCCGCAGAGACCCATTTATCTACTTCCTTGTCACTGCTTCTCCTTTGATACGGATGCAAAGCATTTGCAGGCTGTCAAATGTCATTTTAAGAAAGGGAAAAAATGGATACGATTTTTAATAAAAAGATAGAAAAAAAACTATCAGTTTATGTATACAATCCGTAAAAAATACTGCCTCACAGAAACGAGATAAATGATCACCCATTTTGATGCCACACAGGCCTAATGAGCGCCAGCACGTGCTAAGGAGTCACGGCAATTAAAACGCGCTTGCTGCAGCTCCTGACAAACCAAGCGTTTCTCGGACGCGCGCTGCGGCAACCGGTACCGCCGTGTCCCTGCCGCCGCAGGCTCCCTACAGGCGACGCTCTGCGCTCTCTCAGGAAGTCTTTTTTTTT